GTGTGTGTGTGTGTGTGTGTGGTGTGTGTGTGTCAGCGGTCAGTGAGATTCATTCTGATGATGATGATGATGGTGATGATGATGGTGATGATGCTGCAGGGTGTGGCGGTGCTGGGCATCGCTCTCATCGCTATGGGTGAGGAGATCGGCTCAGAAATGGCCCTGCGCACGTTTGGTCACCTGGTGAGTCGCTGCCGAACACATCAGCTACTGTCTCACAGAAACCCACGGTTAAATTATGTTTTCTGTGCCAAATAAATAAATAAAACGTAACTAAATAAATATATCTTATTTAGTAAATCTATTGTTAATTTACTTAATTACTAATATTTTATAATAAAAATGTATGTATAATATGTAATTACAATAGTAATATTATATTTATTTAAAGTTATTTATTAATAAATAAATAAATATAAATATTTATTAATTTATACAGATGTTTATTTTACATTAACTGTAATTATTATAATTTATTAAATTATTATTCTATTTAATTAAATTATAGAAAATGTAATTTATTTCATTTAAATGCATCATTTATTAATAATTATACATATTAATTTATGTAAATGTCTTGTATAATTTAATAGATTAAATAGTATGGTAATGTATTATATTTATTAAAACATATCATATTTATATAAATAAGTAAATAAATGTAATTTAATATATAAACGTATTATGATAATCTATTAAATTTACGTATTTAAATACATTATTGAATTATATAAAAAATTTAATTTATGAGTAATTATATAATTTGTTAAATATTAAATGTAGTGTTTATATTTATTTTATTTGAAAATATAAATTTTATTAATAAATATAAACATTTATTATATAGTATATATTAAATATGAAATGTAATCTTTATTATAATAAAATGTTGCATTTATATTAAAAGTAATTCAATATATACAATTATTTATATAAATGATTAATAATTATTATAATTGATTACATTTATATATATATATATATTTGTTTTATGTAAATCTATTAATTTATTAATAAATACAAATATGTATAGTTGTTTTATTTTTAAATATTATAATTTATTGCAGTATGTTAAATTTATTTATTTATATTTTATTTAAATTCATTTGTTAATGAATATAAATATCATGTAATTGTAGATATTAATTATGAAATGCAATAATGTAGAACATTTATAATAAATACAATTATATAATAAATGTTTATATAAATTATTAGGAAATGATAGTAATTTATTAAATGTATGTATTCATAAATTCATTCATTAATAAATATAAATATATTATTTTGTTTTTAAATGTTAGCTATAATATTTATTATTGTAATTTGTTACATTTTAATGTATGTAATTATATAATAAATAAATGCATCCACAGGAACAAGCATGAGATTGAACTCTTCATGCTGTTTATTTTGCTAAAGCTGTCTCTTGTGCATTCAGCTGCGTTACGGCGAGCCCACGTTAAGGAGGGCGGTGCCTTTAGCGCTCGCTCTGATCTCCGTCTCGAACCCGAGGCTGAACATCCTGGACACGCTCAGCAAGTTCTCCCACGACGCCGACCCCGAGGTGGCCCACAACGCCATCTTCGCCATGGGCATGGTGGGCAGCGGTCAGTGTCCTGCCAATCCATCACATCATGCAGTGCCTCGACCAATCAGAGCGGGCTGCTGAGGATGCGGTTGTCATGGTTACTGTGTTGCTCTCTTCCGCAGGCACTAATAACGCGCGTCTGGCGGCGATGCTCAGGCAGCTGGCGCAGTATCACGCCAAAGACCCCAACAACCTGTTCATGGTCCGACTCGCACAGGTGAGGCGTCACGTCTCTCAGCAGCACTTCAGGTCATGTGACTCGCTCTCGTTTGTGTTTGTTGCTGCTGTTGTTTCGACTGTTAATGAGCGCTGGGATCTGAGACACTTTAACACGCACCGCTCTAAACGCCAGTAAAAATGAATCGACTTTACTGAGGTTCTATCCGAGATTTTTGATGAGGTTTCTTTTGTAAGCGGTGTACATTTTGGGCCTTTATTTAGAAAACAGAAATGGTTTCTATCTACAGAAGTCTATAGAATGCAAAAACTTTGAAGCACATAGAACAATGCAGATAGAACCTTATAATTCCAAGGCGGCGGTATGTATATCATCTATATATTCCCCTAAAAATCAGAAGGAAAAAATAAGATATTGTATTTTGTATCTCAATGCTGTATTGTTTTTAAATCAGCATAAATTAAAGACAATAAACACAAAATAACACCGGTACAATTTTACATGTTAAATGTAATTATTCTAATCACTTATTATATAATTGATCAAATGTAATATTTATTTAAATTTGTTTATGAATAAAAATAAATATTAATTTATTTAAATATGAGTAGTACAATTTTATATATTTAATGTATCATTTATTATAATCATTTCTATTGAATTTAATGTAATTTAGAATTATAAAACACATTTCTGTACATAA